CAGCGAAAACAACAATGGGCCCAACATAGAACCCTGGGGACCAAGAGAATGAGGCATTAGAGGAAGTAAAATCCCCCTGTGAGACACTGAAGGTTCTGTCAGTCAGGTACGACACAAACCAATCCAGCGCGACCTCGCGAACACCCAGAAAGCGTTCCATCCTTAAACTCAGGATAGAATAATCCACAGTACCGAATGCAGCCAAAAGGTCCAACAATACCAAAACAACAAAGTCTCCAGAATCAGCCAATAAAATGTCATTAAAAACCTGGAGCATTCCAGATTCTGCACTGTGGACTGGCTTAAAACCAAACAGGAATTTTTCCAAGATGTCATTTCCCATCAAATACTCAGTCAACTGTGAGTAAACTACTTTTTCCAGTACTTTAGAAATAAAAGGAAGTTTGGAGATGGGTTGATAACTGGATAAGGTAGATGAGTCAAGCCCAGGCTTCTTCAATAAAGGCTGAACAACAGCATGTTTCCAGTTCCCTGGTGCTACCCCACAGACAATGCTCTGATTAATAATGGCAAAAACCCAAGGACCAACTGATAAAAACACTTATTTTAAAAGCCTAGGGGTATCAAATCCAAGGGAGAACCAGCAGGTTTAAAAGAGTTGACTAAATCCCAAAGGCAGTGCAATGTAAGTGGCTCAATCTAATTAAAAGTAGCTGACAGGGGACTGACAGAATCTGAGCTCTGATATAGACTATTTTGTCCACAAAAAACCTCAAAAATGCTTCGCAAGACATCAAGGAGAGCTCAATACCCACTGGGTGAATATTGAGAATATTATTGTTATGGCCACCAGCCTGGCCTCTTCAGGTGCAGGAGCCAGGATCACCCAGCCCCGAAGATCAGCCTGACACCGCCCCTCCTCCTCCTCTCTTCCAGGCTGCTGAGGAGCACAGCTGAGCTGAAACCTTCTGATGACCAACATCTGGGATAAAAAGGCTGCACCTTCAGCAGTCTGGGAGGCAGCAGTGCAGGGGTTCTGCTGTCCTCAGGCCTCAGATTTTAGTTTCAACCCCTTTCTTTTGATGAGTTTTAACCAAGCCCCCACAATGCGTCTCAAAAATTGAAGCAATCCCGGAAGTACCAAAAATTGCAGTTCCACCCTCATCCACTAGGGGCTGGTGTCAGAAGCGAGCAAATCCTCATTGACTCCCATTTTAAAAATACCAATTTCACAGCAGAAATAAACATGTTTACAGCCTGGTACCAAAACATGTTTTTGGTTTAAATGATCTAGTTTACACTCATGACAACTCTGAGGGGGGTGATTTTTTTTCCTCACTCTTCTGTTTAAGTGTATTAAAAGCCTAAAATTCTGTATAATTAATGAGCATCAGACCCACGTGACCACAGAGCTAGCTCCGTGGAAAGGCCTCAGTAGAGCCTCGGTCTGGCCTGGAAACTGTTCCGGGATTTTGAGTCTCTGTGTTTGTGTTTTCTTTTTTGGATATTTTTTGTGCAATTGTTGGACAAAATGACTTGCAGTGGCATTAATTGCACTAATAGAGCGTCCAAGGAGCCTCCACTTCATTTTTCTCAGTAAGTAAAATTATATTTATGTATTTTAGGTCACTGCCGAGCTGAGCTTAGATGTTAACATGTACTGTTTAACCATGAAATTTAAATGTAATAGGGTAAAACCCAGTGCATTTAACACAATGCTGCACTTTAGAAAATGGGTTGAAATATACATGTTGGTGGAGCTGGGTTCCGACTATCGGCTTGTGGAGCTCTTGGGAGACCTTTGTTTTCCACCTGTTCTCCCCTCCCCGCAGCTCAGCGCATCTCTGCTTGATCGCAGCTCCTGACTGTGAGTGGGCTGCTGGCTTGTGGAGCGCTGAGATGGAAACCTTTCCACCCGGTTCCCCCAGCGGCAGCTCTGCGCATCTCAGATCGCAGCAGCGCTTGTCTGCTGTGCGGCTGCCAGCTTGTGGAAGTCTCAGAGACCTCTGTGTTCCACCCGGTTTTACCCAGCGGTCAGCCCGGCGTATCTCTGACTCAGAAGCTCTGGTGTTGTGCACAGTTAACTCCGGTTGTAGCTAGGTTGCTACCTCCGTTAGCTTAGCTCCCACCTCCGCGTTAGCTTTGGGTTAGCTTCAGATTAGCTTGTAGCTAGCTCGACCGGGTGTCGTCAGTTGATCCCAGCCTTACAGCCCCACCCTCAGCTCCACCTCTCTTCCCTTTTGTGGAATTGTCTGGGCTTGACGGAACCTGTGACACGGTCAAAATGGTGGTGGTGTCCACCTCCCATTTTTCTTCAAAAATGTGTTATTGGAGCCTATGGAAACCCATTGTCCAAATTTATATGCAGATGGTTTTAACTTTGGTAGTTTTAACGCTGAGTGATGAGCTTTTAAAGGGTAAAGCTCTGAGTGATCCAGAGGGATTGCTTTGTAGGTTAACTTGGTGACAATTTAATTGACTCTGGTTTTTTAAAACACCTTCTGTTTGGTAGAACTTTTAACATAAGTTTTGACCAGGTGTTTCATGTCAATAAATTGTTTTAGAACTTTTGTCAACTCTGTAGATTTTGAAACACCTTCTGTTTTGGTAAAACTTTTAGAATAAGTTTAAACCAGGCGTTTTTAAATGTTGGTAATTGATCTTTTAATGTTAACCTTTGATAATTTTTGATTTGCATAATTTTAATACTGCTTGCCATATATTTGCACTTGTTTTTAGAACTTTTTATGACAATTAAACCCATTTTAAACCCATTATCATGTATTTTTATGTTACCCCCTCCTTCACATTTTAATACCTCCTGTCGGAGACGTGTGTGTGTGTGTCTGTGTGTGTGTGTGTGTGTGTGTGTGTGTGTGTGTGTGCGTGTGTGTTTGTGTGTGCGTGTGTGCGTGTGTGTGTGCGTGCGTGTGTGAGTGCGTGCGTGTGTGTGTGTGTGTGTGTGTGTGTGTGTGTGTGTGTGTGTGTGTGTGTGTGTGTGTGTGTGTGTGTGTGTGTGCGCGCGCCTGCTCTGTCTTCTCGATCCCCAGTGAGTCGTGGAGGATGGCTGCTTATACTGAGCCAGGATTCTCTGGAGGTTTCTTCCTGTTAAAAGGGAGTTTTCCTCTCCACTGTCGCTTTATGCTTGCTTAGTATGAGGATTGCTGTAAAGTCACTGACACTAGTCAGTGACTTGATGCAATTTGCTGGGTTCCTTATATAGGACACATTATTTCTGATTGGCTTAATGAACTGACCTGAATTGGAATGTTTATTATGTGAAGTGCCTTGAGATGACTCTTGTCGTGATTTGGCGCTATATAAATAAAGTTGAATTGAATTGAACAATTATCAATTACATTAAAAGGCATCCATGGCCTGTGAAGCGCTGAGAGTTTCACATTTGAGTCTTAACAAGAACAAAGAGAACCGAACTCATCACTTCTGTTAAATCTCTACACTGGTTACCAGTAAACTACAGAATCCATTTTAAAGTACTTCTACTAGTTTATAAATCACCCATTGGCATGGAGCCAGAATGCATGTCTGAGCTCCTTCAGGTATATATGCCGAGCAGGGCTCTGAGATCCTTAGGAAACAGTCAGCTGGTAGAATCTCGGGTCAGAACCAAACAGGGTGAAGCTGCTTTTGGCTACGATGGAATCAGCTTCCTCATGACTTCAAATGTGCCCCAACTCTAGGAACTTTTAAATCAAAGTTGAAAAATGTAGTGTATTCATCAGCCTTCAAATTAATTTCTCCTATGTTTCACCTTCTGCACTTAAATGGTTCAGCCTTTAACTTTGCCTTTTATCTGATTCTTACATCTAATTTTGTGTATTTTTTACTTTTATTGTAAAATCTGCCGTTTTTATGCTGATTTTAATGTTTTATGTTCTTGCTGTCCTTGCTCCTGGAAAGCACATTGAACTGCTTCTGTGTATGAAATGTGTTACACAAATAAAGCTGCCTTACCTCATCTTCTTACAAAGTGAATGAGTGAAGAAAATGAGTCACAGCTTCAGATGCTGCAGCTCTGGAATGTGTTGCATATGTACAACTCATTAATGGATGGACGAAAACGATCAGATAAATATGAAATGATTGATGAAAAGCTAAAATGTCTTTTACAGTCTGCAGTGAAATAGGATCAGAATGTGTAAAATGAATAAATATAGTTGCAGTACTTGTGTGACAAAGACTAAATTAAAGCCAACTTTGTGTCCTGGTTTTGAACACTAAGTAGGCTTTAGGATTCTCTTGGATGTTTCTCAGCGACTCGGCGTTCTGCGTCTTACGCCGCACCATTTTAGACAAAGCAGACAAATATAGCCTCTGTGTATGCTGCAGCAACACCACAGCCCTCTGAAGTCCAACGCTTCCACAGCTGACACGACCTGGGAGTGATGAGGATGACACATCTCTCCCTCCCACACACCACCCCATCCCTCGTCTATGACTTCCATGGCTGGTTACACAACCAGCGGGCCTGAGAGCGCTGCTGGACACCCACACACAGATCCTCCCACCGGGGCAGCACACGGATCGCACTCCCTCTCCTTCTCACAGCAACCAGAATACAACACGTAACAATGCTGAAATAGTATCAGCGCTCCTGCTGCCTGCCTCACTGCCACATGGTTCAGAGATGTCGAGGTCACCTGTCACAGGTGTCGAGCATATATAAAACACAGAGTCTGGCTGCACAGTTGTCTCAGAGAGCAGAACACAGATTTCTATCTGATATGATTCTGCAGCAAATGCCCTCTTCTATTTATAACTTGTTGGCTAAGGAGTGGACTCTGACTAAAAACTGGGCTCTAAAATCGGCTCTTTTTGTGTGCTAACTTGTCAAGAGACTCACACTCCGAGGTGTCATAGAGAATACGGCACCATTTCCTGTTTTAGCTGTGAGTCATGTCAGAGGTTTGTTTTTATTGCTCTTTGGTCCATAGTGACACATCTGTTCTTGTTAGATCCACTTGTCATTTAGGACAACAGCATGTCCAACAGGAATGTGCTCGGCGGCTGCCCCTTGCCTGCTTCTGGTTGTTAAGGTGCATTTCTCGGTCAGCCACCTCCCGACGCAGCCTGTCCACATCCTGGCTGAGCTGCAGCCGGTCCTCTCTCTCATCAGAAGCCTCGTCCAGCTGTTTGGACAAGTAGAAGTTCTGACGGTTCAGCTCAGCATTCTCCTGAGTCAGCGCAGTCAGCTGCTCCTCCAGATCTGTGATCACCTGCAGAGAAATTAGACCAATCAGGATTCCCCTTGAAAGACACTAGCTCTTCTATTAAACTATAGTTATGTCCTTTTAAGTAACTAAAGATAGTTTGTTAAACTTACATCTAGAGTTTTAGCGTTGATTTAGCCCAGTGTGTTATCTGACACCACTCTGCAGACCTCTGCTAACCAAAAGCCACACTAGATAGTTTTGTGGAGTATGAAGGTGTCGAAGGGGGCACTCTTTACCTGCTTTATGGGTGTTAGCTGTAATGCTAGCGGTTAGCATTTTCAGTTTGCCGATCATCAATAAAAAGCACAAGAAGAAGAAAAAGAAGAAGTTTGCTTTTTCTGTTGGCATCAGAGCCTGGATGTTAAAGTAAGAGAGTAATGTCTTTGGAGGTGAAGCAAAGAGTTAAAACCAGAGTGAACATCGGCGCAGCCTACACTAGTTTGTGAAAGCTAAAGGAGGCAACTAAATCACGAACTGATGGTGATCTGGCTTTGTTGCTACTGGACTTGTAAGTAATAATATTGTTTTGTGCAGCAGTCTGGATCTTTTTACTTCATGGTATTACTTGGCTCATGTTAGTGTTAGCGCATAGCTTGCACTAGCTACAGCAGGTTTTTTACGACAGTTGTAATTCCTCATTAAACCAGCAGCTCTGTCATACTTTAGGGCATTTTCCTGACTTGTCTGTAAAGTTAAACGTTCATAAACAGGCAGAAGATTTTCTCTCTAAATGCAGCAGTTTGTGTAGAAATCCTTTAGTCGCTCTGCTGATACACTTTAATCAGATCTGCACTCTAATCTAAAGCAGATGTAAGCTTCATGTCATAGAGTGCAGGAGCCCTGTGCATCCGTGCATGTTGGGCTTGGCATTAGTTATCTGAAAGTAATAAAACCTGTAAAAGCAACTAAACTAATAAAGAACTCTAAACACACCTATGTAGTCTACACTAGACCCTAATGGTTACTTGTTACCAGTGGTGGACAGTCAGGGCCAGCAAAGCCTTCCCTGCTGGCCGAAACGTCCTCAGAAACGTAAACGTATTTTTCCTTTGGTAAATATAAAAAAAAAAAAAAATTCACTGGCCTATTTTCTTTTTATATTCTATTATACTCACTTGGTTACGCTGCTTCCAGTGTTAAAATACCAAGGTTGGGTGTTATCCAATCAGATTTCAGCTAGCTTGTGTTTTCAGGCAGATTAAGTCTGCCCTAGGCCTTCAGAATCAACCGAGCCATCCACTGGTGTGTGTGTGTGTGTGTGTGTGTGTGTGTGTGTGTGTGTGTGTGTGTGTGTGTGTGTGTGTGTGTGTGTGTGTGTGTGTGTGTGTGTGTGTGTGTGTGTGTGTGTGTGTGTGTGTGTGTGTGTGTGTGTGATTCTGTAAGGATTGTCCAGCTGTGATGGTGTGATATTGATGGTATTTTAAGGTGTATTAATTTAGATTGGACTGAACAGGAAATCACGGAAGGCCCAGGGGTGGAACGCACCGCCTACCACTGCTTGTTACTAGTAAAATGTTGGCTCTCTACAATTCCAACAAAGACATTCAAATACACACCAGTGACAGGTTTAAGCCAAATCCTCTTTTCATGCACACTGTGCATAAACCAACCTGCACTGCTCAAAGCTTCTAGCTCTTCTGATTCAGAGAGGCTGACTTAGAGTCAGACATCCAACATCAGTCCCGACTTTCCTCAGGTGTCTATCTGAAGGTTTTCCCCTCAGGAAAATGTCATAAACACATCCCCCACCTGTGCCCACATGTTCTGCTGGAGAGAAAGCCACGGATAATTAGGTGCCATCTCAATTTTTGCTGTGTACTCTTTTTTTCTGTGTATCACTCAAATGTGGTGGAGGAGCAGGCATCTGATTCCCCTGCTGCCTTCATGGTAACTAAAGCAAAAGAGCCACTCAAAGCTGTTTAATTGCAGTTTTAGATGTCATCTGCTGACAGAAATTGTGAATGTTTGAGTTCAAATAGACTCTAAAGAGACCCCTTCCTGAAGACCGTTTTCTCATGAAGCTATAATTCTGTAGCTCCTTCCTGCTTCAGTGAATGAGGACCTTTGACACGTGTGCTTCGATTCATTTAGAAACGACCACCGAGTGCTTGCTGAGAGCAAGAGGGGTGGCTCACTTCCTGCTCCTCTCTCTCTCTCTGAATGAAACAAGGATCTTCTAAACCTCCTCACACATGCACCTCTGGCCATTTTCAACTAAACACTGCAGTCTGAGAGCGAGGACATGTCTCCTCTCACAGGGTGCTGCACGACTCTTTTGTGCCACGTCTTTCAGAGATAGCGCTGACTCTCCCTCTGATGCTGAACAGGGTGTGCAATAGTGGTTCAAACCAGAACTGTGCTGGAAGTACACGCCTACCCATCACAATCTGCAACTCCACAGAGTGGAATCCTGCAGAGTTTCTCAGCGCTCAACTGTCATTGAGCCCATCTCCACCTCTGCCTCCTTTGTGACAGACAACAGCAGACTGCGTTGAGTAATGATGATCGACTGTAATTTACCCACACGTGAGGACTTTTGCACAGCCTCATCTCATCACAGCTATCAGCACGGTGGTGGAGAGAGGATGGTTTGGGCTTCTCATGCACCCACAGAACCCAGACACCGTGCAGTCATTAGGTCAACCCTGAACTCTGCTGGAGACCAGCGTATCCTAGAGTCACATCCAGAACCATCTGTCTGACAGCTAAGTCATAAAACAGGACAATGACACGACAACATCATACGATCTACGAGAGATGGACTGAAAAAGAAAAGAAGCACGCTGCTGCAATGGTCCTGAGCTCTGCTTGATTAGAATGGGACATCAGCAGAGCTGAGCAGATCCCCACTAATATAAAGCTGAGTTGACCTACAGCTAAAGCCAAGTGAAGGAGAGAGGGGCAGAACTACTCCAGACAGAAAACAACTACGTCTCTTATTGCTGCTAAATCTGGTCCTCCCAGCTGTTAGAACAACACTCAGCTTCTCCATTCCACCCTGCTTAATTAAATAACTATGTGTAAGAATCTGATAACTTTGATCATATCCTGATGAATAAAACTTTAAGCTTCCTCCCAGGTTCTTGTTGTCGATGCAGATCTGATGGCCAGGGGTCAGAACTGTCATCTGCATCGTGAGGCTTGACACTGAAGACGCCGAGGTCCTGAGCAGTAGGTAAAGTGGTTTTTCTGTTTGGATCATTTAGCTTTAGTCTACTCAACGCACACACACATCCTTTATTTAGCTCAAATTGAATCCATTAGGTGCTAATTTCAAGCAAAACCATAGCAACTAAAACGTACCGCAGCCTCACCATTGGATTATCACTCAGCTGCAGCCGCTCTAAATTAGCCTCAGCAGCTGTCTGAGGAAGAGTTGGGCCATTTAACTCCTTGTCTTCATTTGCAGCGGTGCAGAAGCCACACACACACACGCACGCACGCACGCACGCACACACACACACATTACGGGGTCTGGTCGTAGTTACAGCAGTGGTCTATCTGCACTGATCCACTTTGGAGTTTGGATTCAGAGCCCCAGAGCTACAAAACTCTAAAAAGTTTGATTCCTTTTGTTTGAGATTTCCTTTTTGATTATTAAAAAAAAAAATTTAGATTATAATTTATTAGGGATGCTCGATATTGACTTTTTTACTGATGTCTGAGATACTGATATTGTCTGACCTGATGTAAACCGATACCGATATATGCAGTCTCTCACTCTCATCAAAAAGAAAAATAGAAATACTCTAGGTGACTGACATCACAGTCTTCTATCATTCGTGCTTAAACTTTAAACATTTTCTGTGCAAAATAACAACTTCTTCAATCTAAGTTAGTAACAGGAAAAGTGTTTATTTGTCTCCAACAGCAGCTGAACCTCATTCTCTTTAGGTGTGACGCTGAGATGTGTGAATTAGTTAGTTATGTATTTTATCATTTTCTGTGATGATGAAACATTTATAAAGATCTTCAGAAAAGCAAACCTTGGGTGAAGATTCTTGTTTTGTTTTTGTAGTTTGTTAGCTGTTAGCTACACGTAGCTACGTGTTTTGAGATGAATTTCTACTTCACAAGTTGTGCAAAAAACTAAACTATCTCAAAGCTGTTATATTTTTACATCTTGAGAGAGAGAGAGAGAGAGAGAGAGAGAGAGAGAGAGAGAGAGAGAGAGAGAGAGAGAGAGAGAGAGAGAGAGAGAGAGCTGGTATGTGGAAGTTGTGTCATTAAAAGACTAAAAACTGATAACAATATTTTCCAATATAAAATTCTAATGCTGATATCGGCTGATATTAATGGTAGATCAACATAATATTATATTATAATTTACATGTAAACAAGCTTTTCTGACAGCATAGTAGCATGTACTTGTTCCATTTGTTGCTCCTCCATGTGCAAGCTGGACCTTCCCCACACAGCCTAGACCACTGCTGCATGTCTGGTTAGTGACATGATGCAGGGAGGATTAAGGGATTAAAACATGTTCAACCACAGTGGGTTAACTATGTTAGTATTCCTGGTAACAGCCCCTTATTCCTAACGGGAACACGAATACCAGAGGACGTACGTCAGCTGTGGGGTCTCATGATCCAAACATAAACAATCATGTCTCCACCAGGTCTGCTGGTCATAAATAACAGAGTCACTTCTTCAAACACAAGCTGCTATTTTTGGTGTCAACATTTCTCTGATTAGAACATTTAGTGTGAAGAGAACGCAGTAACATGACTGTGTAGAACAACTACAGCAAGCTCAACGCTCATAAAGCTTCTTCATAATCTCACATGTATGTAAATATTCGGGGTGAGCTTCTGTTGCATTTGTTGCCAATGCCATAATTTATTTGTGACGATAATTGTTTTGTAGTTTGAGTCAACAGACTTTAGCTATACCGTCATGGTCTGCGTCTGCCCCTTCCTTCATGTGCCTCCTGGTGTTTCTCCATCCTCTCTAGGTGCTCCTTTTGTGTCATGTCTGCATCTTCCTCATGTGTCTCCTGAGCCCCCTTCAGACAGGCCATGAAAAACGGAAATGTTCCGGAATCTGTCCGTAAGACCTTTCTGTCTGAATACAAACATCCGGATAACGTGTTCCGGAATTTATCCGGACGAAGCCCCTAGTAACAGGTCCGGACTTGTTACGGACAAGGTGGCTGCTTCAGACTGGTGAGGTAGAGTTCCGGACAAGGGGGAGGGGGAGGAGGAGGGGTTCGGGGGACGCTGTGCGCACCTAGATAGCCCGCTGCTGTAGCATGCGGCGAACCACGGCAGCTCGCCTCCTACGGTACCGCCTAGACACGCGACGGAGCGCTTCACACCGCTTCAGTGATTCCTTTAACCACTGAGCTTCATCATCCAGGTCTCTTATGCGTCTTCGTGTGCGCAGAATTATGCTTAAGCGCCTCGTGATTTTTATCTTGAGAGGCGCTGTAGAAATGATATTTTCTTCTTCTTCTTAACATAAGTCTGATCCCCCCCCACCCCCCCACCCCTGCCGCCGTCAGACATCTGGAACTTTTCCCTGCTGTGTGAACGCAGCCGAAAGGACAAGTTCCGGTACAAAAGTGGTGTGTCTGAAAACACAGTTCCGGTTAAAAACCGGATTGAATTGTCCGCAAATGTTCCAGAATGTCTGTCTGAAAAGGGCTCTGGTGTTCCCCATTTGCCCTTTAGGTTTCCCCCCTCAAACATCCCTTTCCCAGGTCCTGTGCTCTCTTGGCCCCCTCTTAGCCACACCCCTGCAGTTTCTTTCTATAGTGTTTTCCATTAGTGTCACCTTCCCCTTAGTATATTAGTCATGGTTCATGCTTTCTGGACTTTTGTTTTTCTCTTAGGTCATTTTCCTTTGTTACAGCCTTTCATTATTTAGTGTGTTTTTCCCACCAGTGTTTTCTTCCTCCTCCCAGATTTAGTAATATCACCTGGTCCCTCTCCCCACACACCTGCAATTATCTTCCTCTCATCTTCCCAGTCTATTTAAGCCCTGTCTTGTCTCTGTGTTGTTGTCGGTCCATTGTATGTTTGTCAGCGTTGTTTCGTGCTCTATGTGAGCTTATGTCTCCAGGTTTTGGTGCTCTCAGTGAGCTTTTGTTTTTGTTACCAGGGTTTTGGTATTTTTGGACTTTTGGCTCGCTGCCTTTGGATTTATTTTTGTTCATCCTGCAAAATAAAGCATATTTACTTTACATCATCTCCAGCCTCTTGTCGTCTGGGTAATCTGCATTTTGGGTCCTAACCTTCCCCTCAACGTGACACCAACGTGCCTGTTTTAGTAGCATTTTTCCCAAAAGGTGAAGAATTAGAATTATGGAAGCAGCTAAGTAGAAGAAGTTACTTCACAGACGCAAGTCACAAGGTGCTTCACAGACAAAAACAAACAAATAATAAACAAAAAAACATTAAAGAGCAAGTCACCCCCACATCAACTTTTTTTGCTGTATAAATGAGTGTCTAATGGTGCTGTAGACGTGTGCAGTTGTTAATTTAGCACTTTAGAGCATCTTAGTTATAATTTTAATATTTTGCCTAAAACTGTCAGTGTTGTATCATTTTCAGGTAAAAACTCTGCACTACATTTGAATTTAAATCTTCCATCGCTATTGACTAAGAGGTACACGATGACATTAGCTGGTACATGATGATGTCACAAATGTAGTTTTGAGCCTGTGTGTGTATTTGTTAGCAGCTCCGCCCTCTCGGTCTGCCAGGCAAAAGCATTTGTTGCGTTTTTCAACCAGGAAGTGGGAGTGGGGTAAGACTCTGGTAGGAGGTGACTTGCTCTACAACATCATCACGATAAACTGTCAAATTGAGAGCGAGTGTCTGTGATAATTCCACCGGGAGTTTTGTTTTCTTCAGCCAAGGCCGAACAGGGAGTCAGATACAGATTACATTTATTGTTTTGGAGCAGGCCAGAGATAAAGTGTGCTTCTGTGCCTTACCGTTTTACTGGTCTCAGGAATATCCAATCAGACAAATAATGGGGTTTAAATCCATCCGTGCCATCCAGTGGCATTCTCCATCATAGTGTCATTCACTGCATGTGAATTGAGGAATCGTCCTCAGGTAGCTACACAGAGCATCCAGCTCACGATCCACCTGCAGCAACGTCTTAGTCTGAGTGCCCAGCGCATTGGAGTAACCTTCCCAGAACTCGTGGATTTTTCCAGTTGTCCCCCGACAGCTACATAAACTTCTGATATATCAGATAACTGAGCAGAAACCCAAAAAACATAAATTCAAAAAACCATATGTCTTCTGCATCCTTGACGAAAAGAAGGGAAAGACACATCAGGATCCACTTCCAGGAATCCAAAATGTATCCAACCGGGTGCTTTTCATGCAGGAATATGGGAGCTCCCTTCTGAAAATTTCATCAACGGCATTCGGCAATCAGTTGACCAGCTCCATCATTTTCAAAAGTAATTCCAGAAAGAATCCAAAGATTCGCTCTCAGAAAAGACAGTACAAAGAGCCTTGGGAAGATAACTACTGAGACGTCCTGAAACACATCGTTCTCCTTGCAAACCCCCTACAGACAAACATCCCTGTCAACATTATACAGTGTTACAGGTCAGTAAATCTTTTCTGTTTTTTATTGGTGAAACTTGGCTGTGTTAGCTTGATCGCCAGCCAGCCGAATCTATGGGCGCTGCATTCTGAACAGTTTGCAAGTGGGAGGATCTCTAAACTGTGGCGCTGGGATAAAAGAGCTGTGATGCTGTTGGTGTTAGTTTGTGGTGCAGAAATCTGAAGGCGCACTGATCAATACACAGTTTCTTCTGATGATCGGTACAGCAACAGATAACCTCCTGCTAATGCAAGCGTAAACCTGCTAGCTCACTCACATGTTACAGTCCAGGATTAGGACTAATAATCCCACTTTCACTAAAACAACGTGTTGTTTCCTTTATCAGTAAACTGTTAGCTGGTGACAAACATGGAGTGGAAGTGTGGCGAGAGAGTCATTCATGGGCAGAAACAAGGCTGCTTAAGTTATGCATGATGATGATGATGATGATGGTGATTCAGTCAGCAAAGATTTCTATTCCTAGAAAGAGTGAAGTGTGTGAATTAGGTGGAAGAAGATGGAACAGCTTACTGCGCAGCTGTCTCTCAGGGCATCATATTTGCGTTGTATCTCTTCTCTGTGTGCCTGAAGACATGACAGGAGACAATGGAGGACAAATATCACCGCTAAATAGATGTAACATGAAAGGAGACATTGTGTCCTGTACTTATTGTGTTTCTCCTTCTCCTACCCGGAGCACGGTGATCTCTTCCTCAGCCTCCGCTGTGGTCTCCTCTAGCTCAGTCTTAGCCTGCTGTAGCTGGTTCTCCAGAGCGTGGCGAGCTGCCTGGAGGCTGGTGATCTGGGATTCCCGCTCTTGCAGCGACAGGGTCAGCTCTGTTACCTGACGCTTAATCTCCAGCTTCTGTTCCTCGTTCTCCAGCCCGATCTGCAGAAACAAAACATGGAGATCAGCAGGTGAAGGTGGAGGTTCTCCAGTTGAGACACACCACGACAACTGACTCTGAATAACTCCAGGTCAGTGGAACAGAAAATTCTCATTTAAAAAGCGGAAGTATGATTTTATTGGATCATGAGCAGGCTGCCAACTCACACATTGCCCGTGAGACACACATTTGGCCCTTTTCACACACTCTCTCACCACACCTCCACTATCTCATGCTGAAGACCCCCCCCCCGCTTTGAAAAGTTCAAAGGTTGCCAGCAAACTGGTGGGGGATCAAAGGAAAGATATGTTTTTATGGTAGCACCTAGCGATTTCTCTAACCACAATGTTTGCCCCATATTAAAATGTAGTCCTATGAATTAACTACAGCTAGCTGGACAAACTACCAGAGTCAAAAAAATAAAAAATAAAATAAAATAAATAAATTAAACTTTGAAGTCACAGACAACAACAGACTTTTGGACCTAGGAAGCAGTGACTGGTGTTTAGCACTGTCTCGTTTCCTCTGGTAATGCGGGTTTCTGGTTCTGGCAGAGGGAAGATACCCAAGGGGAGGGGTGAGTGTACTGTGACCGTGTTTTTGTTTAAAAGCTAGCTTGTTCTGTGGGTTTGCTAAAGCAGCTTTAATGAGCTGAACCTTCTCTCACATGGGGGATCTGATGTTCTGTAATTGTTCCCTCGCCATAATTCAAGCCTACAGCCAAACATCGATGTTTCTTTATCTGAATCACAATCAGAATGAAAATGTTGCCACAAAAACGCCACCAGGGTGTTGCTGTCTGGTGTAACCCAAGCACCTGTGTGGTCTCACCTCTCGGAGCCGGGTTTCCAGCTCCAGCACCCGGCTCTTATGGCTCTGCTCCTGCTGACTCATCTTCTCCAGATGCTCTTCCAGTTTTGCGTTCTGAGCCTCCAACTTCCCAGCTTGAGACTCCAGGTAGAACTTCTGCTGACGAAGCTCTGATATCATTTCTTCTTGGGCTTTCCTGACAGAAGCACACACTGACCTGAGCATCGAAAGAGAACTAGGCAGCAACCCCAACATTAGCCCCCCCCCCCCCCCCCCCCAACAGCCTGCTCAAAACCCCTCTATGGAGACAGTAACAAAGTGTTGCTTTTATTTTGAAAAGCTGGCGTTGTTTTGTTGTGGTGCCTACATGTTTTTCTGCGTGTAGATACTACTGTTGGCTGCCAGTTTGTTGGCCTCAGACAGCTCAGCTATTCTCTGCTCCAGGTTGTTCATCTTTGAGTCCATGGCATTAATGGTCTGAAGGGCAGAAAACGTCTCATTAGACAGTTTTTCAGTCGACTCACGTGGGACCTGTCATCAATCTAAATGTGAAATCTGTGTCAGTATGAATATTTAAAGATACGCCTGATGCAGAGTTGTTTCCAAGCTGGTCACTTCTTACCGCCTTCTGTTCGCTGATGACGCTGCACTTCTCCTGCACCTCCTCCTCATATCTGCTCTGACTGGACTCCAGCATCTCTTTGTCAGCCATGTCCGCCTTCATCTGAGCCTCCAGCACCTGTTCAACGCCAGCCAGCCCACAGAACCACAACCAGGAAGTCACTTAACAGGACAGAGGACAGTGTGATGATGACACGTGGATTTCTCCACACCCACAGCAGACCCAGCAAATGTCTGGCCACCAGACAAAACACAACTTCTCATGACTCCATGTTCATTTGCACATGTCTGATGTTTTTCATGGTACACCTGCAGCAGTGTGTGTTTTTGAAAACCGAACCTTTATCTTGTCCTCATAGAGCTTTTCTTTTTGCTTCAGATGAGTTTCCAGTCGTTGGGCAGTGGCGTGAGTCTCCCGCAGATTCTCCTCCAGCTCCTAATGACGAGGAGAAAATACACACGGGCTTTTTCTGTTAGGAAGTGTAACCATCGCAGGGATCTTTATCTGAGCTGAGAGATTCTTTTGATTTGGGATGCATGGAGGAGATCTTTGTAGGATTTGGGTCAAAAACAAAAGAGTGTTGACAAGCTGATGTATAATCTACGACTTCCCTGCAGATCCTTGATGTTCGTCACAACAATCTGTCCATTCCTTCCCTCTTCGTGTGGCCCCTTTTTAATGCGTCTCAGGCACAGATTTACAGAAGCAGGAAAAACAAAAGCTAACCCGATCAGCGTTAATGCAAAGGTCAGTCCTCCGGCAAAATGTTTCTCAGCGTTCTTAAGGAGACAAAACCAAAACGCTGCCATGATGGAAGTGAAGCAGCTACTTAACTAATGAGCTAGCTTTTCTGGGAGGATTTCATTCTGCAAGTCCTGCAGATTCAGTTCAGAGCCAGAAGTTTTTCTGTTAGAGGAGAGGACACAAGTCGTCTCTGAGAACAGCTAACCCTGTTCTGGAACAGATAGCAGCATGCAATATTCGACTTGAGCTCCATTTCTGCACAAACCAGCAGCTTTTTTAGCTGCTTTTGTTTTTGCCCCGGTGATTATTAAACCAGGCATTAAACCATGTGACCAAACTCTGCTCACTACTAGAAGGGCTGAGTTGATGGTCTGGATCAGCCCCACCCTGAAACAAAGTTGCAGGAATATGAAGTCAGACTGCTTTATTACACCCACACTAACATGGCATCACAGCTGTGTGGGGGTTTAAAGTCAGACGTTACATAAACTGATTTATTCTACTTTGTGGTATTTGTATATAAAAGGTCTTTTATAAAAAAAGAACAGGACAAACTTCTTCCTCCGAGTTATTCTGCACCCCCCTTCCTCTGGTGACAATGAGCCGTGTTTATCTCACACTCTGGTTATTTTAGTCGTGCATATGAGATGAAAGGTGGGTTACCAGGATCTTATCCGCCATCTGCTGGATCTGCTGGGCCTTGCCCTGGAGCTCATCTTTCAGTTTGGTCTCTCGGCGCTCAACAATCTCCAGTCTCTTCACCTGGTTCTCCAGAGTCTTCCTTCCGTCCTGCACGCAACGACCAGCGTGACTGGAAGTCTCAGATGTGAAAACACAAATGCGCTAAATAATGTGTGCTCTTTTAAAAAAACACTGAAATCTAAACAAGATTTAAGGGTTCCTCTTGAAGGAAGAAGCCATATCCAACGGCCTTGTTAGGATGCACCTCTAGTGCTCCAGTGGTCTCAAGGAGCTCATTTGCATTGATGTGATTCCATAAGAAGGATCTTCTTCTCTGTAAATATGACGCTGAACATTTTCATCCTCACAGATTCTCATTATGAATAATTTATTCTGTTTATGAAGTTCACGCTTTTTTAAGAGGGGCATAAATACCACTAAAACCACTAAAACGTAGAAGGACCCATGCAGTCTGACCTTTAGATCATACTAAAGTGTCCGTTTTAACTTTTTAAAAACTAGTTTCTCTGATTTCTCCCTAGAACAGTGAGATGGATCATAAAACTGCACAGACACACTAAGACATGCAGTCACAGCACAAGTGTTCCTCAGGGGGCGCAAAAGCACGCCTTCTAGTCAGCACATGGCTCTTTGTGCTTCGCAGAAGTTCGCACCAGATTTATTTATGCAACACTTTTACCAGAGTCTTATAACACTGGAGCAATAAATGACACCATTCAAAGGGTGAGGGACAGAAACCGAAGATCGTAAAAGACAAACATGTGATTGTTTGGATGTCTACGACTGAGAAGGACCTCAGTTTCACGAAGACGTCTGCGCAGGCTGTCGCTAGATTCTTCTTTGTTCTGCAGCCTCTCCAGATCCCGCTCCAGACGCTCTTTGGACATTTTCATGTTCTGAAGCAGGTCTGTTGCCTCAGCACTGGCCTTTGATGTCTGGAAAACACACATGTACATTGATAAATATATTTATGTCTGTCAGGTCTGTCTCAGCTTTCTATAAAACACAGAGTCTTGGTGCTGATGGATGAAGGTTAGTTTCACTTAATCAATAAATAAAATGTTTTTACACGCAGGCAGAAATGTGCTATTTAGGTTTTATGTGCAGCTTTGTGTTGCTGTGCGATTAACTCATGATCTTCATCCATCCTAAAGGCCTACTCATGATCTTCATCCATCCTAAAGGCCTACTCATGATCTTCATCCATCCTAAAGGCCTACTCATGATCTTCATCCATCCTAAAGGCGTACATGTTTAGTTTCACAATGATTCTGTGTGTGACCTGCCGCTTCGATATCGATAACGATAAAATGACGACAACTACAGGTATGTGCAGAGACACAAGTTGTCCACTAGATGGGGCTGTCACATGTTTTACGTTGAGTCACATTTTTGTGTGACTCGAGGTGGTACAGCTCCTTAAAGGGACATGAACGTTGCCAAACTTCACGCATCTTTTCATTCTTCATCATCAAATTTATTGACATGGAAAAATGATCTCGATAAGAGTCAGAAATTTTGATAATGATAAAGTTTTGATTTATTGCCCAGCCCTAACTGTGACTAAGTAAAAACCGTAAAACAAACCATGCAGGCATGCATGTGCACACACACACACATGCACACACATGCACTAGGAATGTGCCAGCTTTGCTTGATTTTGTGTGCATACAGCAATCTTAACTATTTCCTCATCATTTTGACAGGCTGTCTCTAACTAGCCGGTGAATTTCCTCCATCAGACTCACTAGTTTCCTTCCTGTGATGCTGGCCAATAGCACCTCTGAGCTGCAAAGTTCCAAATGTGCCAAAAATAGTTGTCCATGTCACTGCCTGGTTCACATGTTCACTGCACAAGTGAGTTACCATTTTGGTTCATCTTTATAAATTGCATCGATGCGTCTAGTGTTTTATTAAATTGTTCTGCATTGCTGCATAGTTATGATCTTCTTATATCATCACTCTTGTTTAGTTTTACTGAGCCTAATGGCATCAGATAGGTGAAGATCTCTCTCTCTCTCTCTCTCTCTCTCTCTCTCTCTCTCTCACACACACACACACACACACACACACACACACACACACACACACACACACACACACACACACACACACACACACACACACACACACACACACACACCACAACATGCCCTATAGGTTATAAATTGTAAGTCGCTTTGGACAAAAGTGTCAGCCAAATAAACAAACAAACACACACACACACACACACACACGCACACACACACACACACACACACACACACACACACACACACACACGCACACACACGCGCGCGCACACACACACACACACACACACACACACACACACACACAGCTGGATTCACCTGTAGCTGCTGCTGTAAATGTGTGTATTTGTTCTCCTTTTATGTGATTATAATGTTTAAAACGGGATATCTAATTCAGTTTCTACGTAGTGCTAGTGCCACATACTGGTGGAAATGAGTATTGCACTTTGAGGAGCTCACTTTGGGCAGATGACCAACTAACTGGACTAACAGGGTTTTCTCACCTGTTCACCTTGAGTCCATCCATGTTGTAGGAGAGACACCTACCTAATAAATGACTAGTCCATTTGATGACACTGATGTAGACCTTTGTAATAGAACCAGTTAGCCTACAGCTGTAGTTAACCTCAGCAAAACAGACTTCGGAATTAAAAACCCATTTTAAAAACAGATAATATTGGTGAAACAGTCACATTACTGACAGTGAGGCAGAAACCACCCCACCCCAAAAACTATGAAAGGATCACAAACTCTAATGTCTTTGGACCACCAAATTGTTAAGCGTTGACTACGACACACGTTAGCATGCTCAGACCCTGCTCTAGCACATCCCAGAGTCTCAACACGGTTCAGGTCCAGGTCCATGCTCTTGGAATCTGCGTGTGTCATCAGGGAACTGAAAACCTGCTGATTCAGCTTATTGATGTAGTCAGCTGACTCTGTCCCTGAACCTGGACCCGACCCACTACAGACACTTCAGATCAGAAATCCACCAAACTTGTCTGAGACAGATTTTTAGGAGAGGCAGAGAAGAAAGGAGGTCAGAGAAGGTAAAGAGGGATTTTTCTGCTCATCTGAAATGGTAAGATCTCTCTTGCATTTGGAAGCACAAGCTCTAATAAATTATTCATTAATCTTCACAGCAAATTATTCTACCTTGGTGAGTTTCTCTTGTAGGTCCTGAATCTTCAGCTGCTGCTCGACGCTGGCCTGAGAACAAACACAAACATTTAGGTGTGTTTTATTAAAATCACTCGTATGTTCAGGGAAACCTACCTTTTCTAACTTCATCACCATCTCCTCCACCTCAGCTTTGCCTTGCTCTTTTGCCTGTAAGCAGTTCAGAATAATAATTATGACTAAAATCTAATCTCTATATGAGATTAGAGTGCTGTTTGTGTTTTTAATCACAAAGATCTTTAACACCTTTTGAATCCTGTGCTGGTAGTCTGCAGCCTTCCTCTTCAGCTCCTCGTTAGCTTGTCGAGACTCCTTCAACTCAGCCTCATACAGGTCGCTACGGCGACGGGCAGCAGAAAGGTCCTCCTCCAGCTGTCTGACGGAAACGCGCATCTCCTCCAGCTGAGCGTGATACTCCTACATAACGAAAACAGAAACTTTACTCTGTAGTTAAAAATGTCCTCTTGATTTACCTGGATTATAATCTGAATAGAATCTTAATCTGTAGGAAGTAGACATTGGCTGGTTTAACAATGATTTAATATAACAAACTAAATAAATTTCCTGCAGGAGACTCTGACTTGGTGCTACAAAGTCTGAATATAAAAGCTATTTTAGTCAAATAAAATATTATCACCAAAGTACTTATTATTGATCCTTTAAAGGCACACATGACAGTTTCCCTTGCTTTTAACACCCCCTAGTGTCCATTATGTACTGTCTGTGGTCAAACCGAAAGCAAAACCAATCTTCTCGCTGTGCGTTCGTCTTTTTAACACCTTAATGTAACAGCTGGAATGTCTCCCCAGCCTTCCTTAGTGTCTACATGAGTGATCCATTCCCAAATTAAACAAATCAGCAGTGTTCATGATCTAAAACATGCTGGAACCACACTGCAGTGCTAGTCCCAACCTGCCAGTCTGAATTTACAAATGCGGTATTCTGGCCTGTGACGACCCTCGTCCCCTCAGTCCATTCTCTCATTTCAACCTGAGCCTTTTGTCCCCACTGCCGAGGATTCAGCACCAGGAACAGCGCCTGAATCTGCTTGTTTACACTCTCCAGCCGCCCCAGCGCCAATTCAGGACCTCGGAGAGAGGCACGCCGGAGAAGACAGCAGCTGATCTTCATCAGCTATCAAGCGGCCGACAGACTTTAGAAGAGGAGCGAAGCAGACAGTCAAGGGAGAGCCAGGATTAGCCTGTGATTCTCCCGAGCTCACAGACACTTTGTGCTAATGTTAAATCGTTTCCGGTACTGTTTAAGGTTATTCCTAAAGAGATCCAGAAGTGGTCTGGAATTCTTCTGAGCTCGGTTAACAACCCATGCTAAAGCTAAACATTTTAAGGGTACTTGCTAAGGGTTTTTGTTATAGGGTTTTGGCTTGGTTATCCTCTTTTTTAGGATTTATCTGACAAGGCGTCAGTTTTCTTATTTTGGTGGCTTTTATCCCCATTGGATTTATAAGCCGGGGATATTTTCGTTTAGGTGGTTATGATTTAAGCAGAAAGCCTTTAAAATAAACAGTTATGTTTTCAGTTTCCACCTTATTCTTCACCATTATTATTAAGCCTTATTTTGCCGTTCAGACACGGACACCTTTTGTTAATAAACCCTTTTGTTTGTACTCTCACCTCCTCGTCCTTTACACCCCCACACACACTCCTACACCTATTTTCCTGTGTTAGTCCCCTCATCCTCCTAGACCTTCAGGAGGGGACGTAACATGGCCACAGAGGGCAGTGGGGGTCTGAATAACATTTCATTAACCCTGTAAAGCACAGGTGACAAACTCAGGCCCTGGGGCCAAATTTGGCCCATGATCTATTTTAATTTGGCCCCCGAGATCAAATACCAAATATATTTGTGAAAATTGGCACACCAGCCGATTTTGCCACAACAACAAATCCCATCGTGCTTTGCGGCGATAGCACATCAGCTGAAGTGCCCCCTCCTTTCTGTTTACGTTCATTAGCTTCCATGCTACCAGTTTTGGTGTCACCAGCCTTAGCCTCTTCAGTCTCGGACAAACTGAAAACACTCCTCTCACTCAGCACCAAGTTTACTCAGCAATTGGCTGACTTTGAAGCTCAGAAATAGAGATTTCAACTGCTCAGTAGTCTGTTTGCAGCTGACAGAGGAAGCTCACCAGCCAACTTCCAGACCGAAATGATTTAACTGCAGTTTAGCAACATGCTCAAGTCAGTACGACTGTGGCTGCTGTAGTTTTTACCTTTCCTCCCGGCACTCTGACACAACTGTGTGGTCAAGCTTCTCAAATGCTCTCCATGTTCAGCAGCACATGCCTGTGTGAGCTACTGTTGTCTGTGATGAAGATGAACAGAAACACACAGGAGTCTCATTGATGAACTCCTTCCTCAGCTCAGAGCCCAACCACAGAAATGCAGGTTTCTGGCTGGAACAGGTGAGCATTATAGTAAACAGTGGAGCAAACTGAGCTAGAATTATTTTGTTGTGTGCACTTTTTCTGCTCGAAAGCATGAAATTTATTAGCTGAAATATTGCATTTTCATTTAAGAGAATAACTATTTTTTGTTGTTGGCCTGACAAAAAAGATTGAACCTACAGAAACTGGAAAGACAACAGATAAATGAATAGAATAGAAATAGAATAGAAAATCCCATTAGTGTCCCTCTGTAGAGAAAGTTTAGTGTCACAGCAGCAACAACGATGAATACAGGAGCAAAAAGGAGAGTGTAACGTACCAAATGTTGAATTTTCATCAGCATGAACAGAATTTAACTTTGATTTGCAGACACAAACACACCATCTGTCCAGTGCTTATTAACGCAAAAGAAGACGTAAGATTTTCAGTCTCATGCAGCCGAGACTTCTGCATCCTCACTCTGAATAATGTTCACCTTCCTTAAAGTTCATACGAGACTTTATAACTTACAGGTTGAAATAATCAAGTGTACGGAATGAACAAGATGTTTACACAAATGTTTGAATAATCTGTGCTTTAATCAATGATGGGTTGAATGAATCTCTTTCTTGCAATGATCCATTTCAGATCTTAAACTACATCAGATCAGTATGTGTGGATTTAACAAGTTAATCTATTAGTACTCGTACACATTATAAGAAGATAATTATTAATGTTTAACATCCACTTCACATAAGTGTTTAAACATTCTCATTCACTCAAAGAGTTAACCACCTTCGTATCTGAAGGAAGGAGTGACTTCTGAGGTATTGTTGGTAATGCCCTCAAACATGTCAAATTATGATTTTCCAAATTAAGGCAGGCGATAAAACAGAATTGTTTCTGGAATTTATTCTGTTTCAAGCTGACTCCCGATCTGGCCAAATCGGTGAAAAAAGCATTTTGAAACCATCTTCTCGTGACATCAAGTGAAAACCTCTCTGCAACGCTGCGAGTGATTACAGACACAACGGCTCTTCTAAGAGCCAACAAACAGCCTTAAGCCGGGCGTACACTGTGCGACTTTTTCACTTTTTTGAGCCGATTTTCCACTCGTGCGAGAATCCACGAGATCGGGGCGAGTTTTGCGCCGAGCGTCAATGTAGTGTACAGGGGGTTACGAGAGGCGATTAACTCCACGTGACCAGCTACCGATCAGCAATCGTGAGCTCGCACGGACTTCTGGCGTGTTTAATATTTTGCTCGTCCCTCGTGAGGGTATCGCACTGTTGAAGAGGCGCAGTGAGCAGCTGCGACCCAAAATGTATCAGAACCGCTCACGGCGCATGCGCAATCATGCATCAACACCGCTCCCCGCTATTTCCCTAATAACACACGTTGTTCATTTTAATTTCTACACGTTTTTTTTACTCACAAAGATTGTCAAGAAAGCGTGTTTGTCGTGTTCATGTCAAATTAAACTGATCACAAAACACAGATGTACTTTCTTTATGTCGTTTTCCTGATCCAACCCCCATAAATCCCTGTGTGTCCCCCTGCAGCACTCCCGAAGGACAACAGGCAAAACAAGACAAAAAAGTCTAACGTGTTGAGTAAAAACTGCTATTTTTAGCATATATTTTATGTCTGACGTGTTGCTACCAGACGTACAGTGTGAGCAGTCAGGTCACATCCGAGAACTGGGTCGTGCAGTGTGAGCGCCTGGCTCGTGAGATCTGCCCTGCGAGGAAGTCGTACAGTTTGAGCTGAAGCTGAGTGCTACGAGTGAAAAAGTCGCACAGTGTACGCCCGGCTTTAGATGCAAAGCAAGCATTCCAGCTTCCTGTTGTGACCTGGAGAGATCTCATGACTAGACAGGTCTTATCAGAGCTAATCTACGGGTTCCGGTAACAGAGTTCTGCACCTTCAGCAGTAACCAGCTCGACCTCCTGACCCTCTGGATTTGAAGGGGATCTCCACACAAGGGTGCGTAGACTCGTCACAAATTGCGTCGGATGGCTTTATAAACAAATCTATAGTTAACAAAACATACAGCCAAATCGATTTTACAACCCAGACTCCACAAACTCTGGCAGATACTTAAGAAAGGTTTTGCTGAAACATCTAGCATTGACATGGTTTGGGGAATGCATTTAACCCAATTCATGCAGAATCACACACTCACAGATCTTATGGTAAAAAAAAGAATCTTTATTTTAAAATGGGAACTGAAGGTGCACTGGAAAAGCCCAGTGTAGATCGAGAACGGGAGCGCAGCGTCTGAGGAGGGGAGAGCAGATACAGGTGAGTCCAGGAAGGTAAGTCTAAACTTGGTGGGTGCAGATAATAGACTTACTGGGAGTAGGGGAGTGTAGGAATGAGGGAGGGTAGGTTGGGTGCCGGGGTGAATCCAAGTGGGGTGTCCAGGAGAGGGAGCGAGAAGAGGGTGAGATGAGAGTGGGCCGGCCAGGAGGAATGGAGAATGGTGAGGAGTGGTGTCGAGTTTGGTGGCAGGAGAATCTCGTCTCTGCTTTTTGCGGATGATGTGGTCCTCCTAGCTTCATCCAACTCGGACCTTCAGCTCTTGCTGGGTAGGTTCACGGCCGAGTGTGAAGCGGCTGGGATGAGGATCAGCACCTCCAAATCTGAGACCATGGTTCTCGACCGGAAAAGGGTGGCTTGCCAACTCCAGGTCGGGAGAGAGGTCCTACCTCAAGTGGAGGAGTTTAAGTATCTCGGGGTCTTGTTCACGAGTGAGGGTAGGAGGGATCGGGAGATCGACAGGCCGATTGGTTTGGCATCTGCAGTGATGCGGACGCTGAGCCGATCTGTCATGGTGAAGAGGGAGCTGAGCCAGAAAGCCAGGCTCTCGATTTACCGGTCGATCTACGTCCCAATCCTCACCTATGGTCATGAGCTTTGGGTAATGACCGAAAAAACAAGATCGCGGATACAAGCGGCCGAAATGAGTTTCCTCCGTAGGGTGGCCGGGCTCAGCCTTAGAGATAGGGTGAGGAGCTCGGACATTCAG